AAACCTTCCAAATGGTTCTTATGAGGAAAGTATTACTCTGTAGGAAGGATTTATGTTCTTCTACTCTGAGAAAGAGTTAATACTTTATTTTTTTTTCTGCACCTGTGGTATGCAATTGTCATATACTTGCCCTGCTTTCTTTTAGCACCACACTACCTCTCCAGGCTGAGAGTCCTTTCTTTATAACATAGCCCTGAACTAGCAAGTAAGTGCTGCTGAAAGCTCCAGACTAGATCAAAGTGGCAGCACACACAGCTCTCTTAACTCATTTATGGGTTTATCCTAATGCTGTCTCCACTCCATCAGCCCCCAGGGACACTACTGTTCGGAGGTTCACTTTCTTTACAGAGGAGAAGTACGTCTTCCTGGCAATGTTTTGGGTTGGGATATCATCCAGTCCAGTTTCAAAGTCATTGTGGCTGTTGCTTGTGGGTCTTGCTAAGTGAAGCCGATGCTACCATTTTCTAGGACCAATAAGGAATCTGTAAAATGTATTTTCTGACATTTTTAGATCCTTCTGAGGAGAAATGGATAAATATACATGATCCATTTCCCTGATGCAGTATCTCTATTAGTACAGGAATGTCAATGGCTCCAAAACTTTTAAAAATAACTTGGCAATGACTTACAAACAACCATACTCTTATTTTTGGGATGGTGGTGGTGGTGAAAGTGATGGTGGGTGGTGGTAGAGCTGGTGGTGCTGATAGGGGTAGCGAGTAATGGTGGTGGTGGTCATGGGCAGTACAAGCTTTGAATTCAGGGTCTCATGCTTGCTGAGCATGTTGGCTCAGAGTTGGCTTTGGTCCACTATATTGGAGATGGATTTTCGTGGCTTCGAACCTTGACCTTCTGGATCTCAACCGCCTTCGTAGCTAGGATTCCATGAGTAAGCCATTGGTACTTGGCTATAATCACACTTTTTACCAACAAACTCACTTCACTGATGTAAACAGGAGAAAAAGCTTTCATGCCTAATGATTCTTTCTTTTAAAATCACTTAGCTTAAAGTTTCATCCAAAGATGTAACTCCTTTGAACAACTAATGAATTATTTACCAAAATGAATACCAGGAAGCAGAAACATGTTATTTGGGGAGAGAACAAGGGAGGTACATATGAATGAAGGGAGAATGAGTAAGCAAATGCTGCCATTATATTCACTGTACATTATGTAAAAACTGAACTATGTAACTTGAAGGTAGGGATGGGAGGGGGGACATGGGGAGAACGATGAAAGGAGTGACATTCATCAACAGTGACAAGCATCCACATGTATTATCCCGATTTAAGAAACTGTAACCTCTTTGTACCACTACTTAACAATAAAATTTTTTAAAAAATAAATACGTTTTTGAAAAAAATGAAGGGATGCTTAAGATTAAGGGATATGTAATTATGTAGCAATTAAAACTGTTTAGAGTTTGAAATAATAAAATTAGTATTATTGAACTTTCTGAATATTTATTGTATACTAGGACTTACTTTGGACTTCTATATCTATTAATTCACTTAATCCCCATAATAATCAGTTAAGACTAAGACTGTTCTTTTCCCCAAACAAAGAGAACCAAGCCAAAGAGGATCAAATAACTTGTGCAGGTCACACAGTTCTACATAGGAAAATGAATCTGATCCTCAGTAGCTTTGTAACACTTTGTGCACATCACTAACCCTCTTGCTCTGATGGCCAAAATGCTTAAGATACAAGAAAAAGTGCAAACCATATGTGCACTATGCTCATAACTGTGGAAAACATTAAAGAGAGAAGGATAGAATATACTGAATAGTATCTTCTGGCAGTAGCATAATGGATATTTTCTTATTTGCTCTTTCCAGAATGTTCCAACTATTTTACAATGAGTAATGTTACTTTCAAAATCATAAAAACAAAATAGGGAAAAAAATCATAAGGGAGGAAAAATAACCCACTAGTACATTCTCCAGCTTTGTGGCATAAATTGTTTTAACAAATTCCTATCCAGAGATGAAACTGCTTTCCAGTTTGTATTTTCTCTAAGATTTACTTAAATATTTTTTGTTCTTTAAGGGAAAAAAAGCTCAGGAAAGAGCCCTAAATCTTGATCTGAGTTCTACTATGTATCCTTTTTTTTTTTTTTGGTCAGACCTGGGGCTTGAACTCAGGGCCTGGGCACTGTCTCTCAGCTCTTCAGCTCAAGGCTAGTGCTCTACCACTCAAGCCACAGCACCACTTCCAGCTTTTTCTGCTTATGTGGTGCTGAAGAATCGAACCCAGGGCCTCGTGCATGCAAGGCAAGCACTCTACCACTGAGCTACCTTCCCAGCTCCTACTATGTATCTTTAATGTCACAACTGACACTTGAAGTGATTGACAGGCAAATTCTCTTAGATGCAGATTGAACACATCCCCCACACTAGACACA